TTTCCACTTGCTCCCCAAATAGGGATGGAGGAGGGGATTTGGGGGTGCAGAGAGGGGCTGAGCAGCACTGGGGGTGGGGACTAGGTCCCGAGTCCTGGCAGGCCTCAAGCGTGGTAGGAGAGGGAGGGGCGGGCAAAAAAAGGAAGTGGGGAAATAGGAAGGAAGAGGCTTAACAAAAATAATTGAGAAAGTGGGTGGAAGGGGTGCAGTTTTGGGCCCCCACCACTGCCCCTTCTCAGCATCTGTGCAACCCTTCTAGCATCCCTCGGTCACCTTCCTCCTCCCTCGCTGGGCAGGGCCTCTGCCCTGGCCCCTAGCCAGGCTCGGCTTCCTCGGACCTGCCGCCCTCCTGGCCTCTGGGCTCCTTCCGGTGCTTCCCAGTCAGCCCTAGCAGCCACCCTCGGAACAACCATAACCAGCACTTATGAGGGCTGACCGCGGGCCAGGCCTGTGTTTGGGGCTTACACAACGGCCTTCCCCTGTCCTTCCCAGGGACTAGCAGGAAAGAGAGACCTTGCACTAGGAAGCTTTGGTATCACAGGCTGAAGTCTGTGGTTCCCACAACCCGAGGACCAGAGTCCCACCGCTCCCCACTAAACCTGGGGAAGGCCCCAGACAGACACAGCAGAGACCTGAGCTCAGGAAGAGCCAGGGGTCAAGCCTGGGCTCTGGTGAGTATGGGGGAGCCAGAGAGAATGAGTGAGCAGAGAGGAGAGGCTGCCACCCCACGCCCGGCTGAGGTGGGCCTACTGACAAGGGCCTGGGAAATGCACTGTGAGGGGAGCGGCCATCTCACCAAGGTGAGCTCAGCTGTCGCCACACGTGGCCACACTGGCCAGGTTCGCAGAGGGCGCCCCATCATACCTGTCCCAGCATTAAGTTTCCCCAAGACGTACTCTACAGAGAGAAAGCCAGCAGGATGCCAATCCCATCCTCTGGACTAGGGTCACACGGCTGCCCAGTCCAGGCACAGGAAGGACAGCAACCTGGACTTTCCCACTGTGGGTGGGAGAGCCCACATCCTTCCTGTCCCAGAGGATGTGGAAGGCAGGGAGGCCATCAATCTCCCAGGAAGGACATGGCGTCCTTCCACCCGGCCACGCTGACTCCACACAGCAGAGGTCCTGACCTGCAGGGTGTCATGGAAAATCACAGCGTCTCAGGGCAGACAGACTGACTGACTGATGGACTGACAGGCTCACTAGGCTGGGCTGTGGAAGGGGAAGAGGCTACGAGACGACAGAGAGGTCTGCAGGTCACAGAGACACGGAAAGGGCTCCCCGGCCAGCCCGGAGTCCAGGCCCACACCCCAGTTCCTCCGCAGGTCCCCTCCAGCCCAGCAGTCACTGAAGCAGGTGGAATGGTGGTCCTCAGAAAGAGAAGTCTGTGTGACTTCATTTGAAGGAACGGTCTTTACAGATGTAACTAAACTGAGGATCTTGAGCTGAGATAATTCTGGAGTGACCAGGTGGGCCCTAAACTCAATGTGTTCTTATAGAGACAGAAAGTGAGAAAAAAGACCCAGAGGAGAAGGGGACAGCAGAGAGGGAGGCAGAGGTCGGGCTGGACGAGGCGAGGAAGGCTTCTTCCCTGGAGCATCTGAAGGGAGTGTGGCACTACAGGTGCCCTGCTCTCACACATCTGGCCTCCAGGACTGAAAGAGAATACACTTCTGTTGTTCTAAGACACCCAGTCTGTGGTATTTTGTTACAGCAGCCCCAGGAGACTAACTGGGTCTCAAAGCTCAGTGCACCCTGGACTCCCCACCTCGGCCCCCCACTAGCGCTCACGTCTCTGCTGGGCACCTCCAGGGCCCCAGCCCCCTCTGTCACGGCCTCTGCTCTGCACCAAAGCCTGGGGATTCCACACTAACTGGCCCAGCGGGCGTGGACGTTTGGAGACAGCTTCTCCGACCCATCCCTAATCCCAGCCACCCTGGGTAGCCTCCCTGGCTCTGGAGGTCTTCCCACTTCAGAGGGCTCCTGTGTCCATGCCGTACAGGACTGAGCTTTAAGCCTGATGTTCAGGGCCTGGCCCTAGGCAGCTCCAGGGGACCTCTGGGCTCCCTTGCAGCCTGACCCAGCCACTTCAGGTCGTCCACTTTCCCTGGGTACCTCCTGCCCACCATTGCCCCTGCCACATGCACACCGCCGGTCTCTGCAGTGAAACCCGCCCACCGGTGCTCACAGCAAGCCCATCTCAGAAACTGGTTCCAGGAGCCTTCCTGATCTCCCTCCTGCTCCCCCGCCCCACACTCCCGAGACAAATCTTTCTTGAAAGGGACGCAAGAACCAATGGGGGGAGAGGGAATGTTTGGGAAGCCCTGTGAGTGTGAGCAGCGCCTGGCCAGCCACCCGTGCAGGCAGTGTCTCATTCTCAGCCCTCTGGCCCAGGCTGCAGTCCCATTTCCCAGGCAGGAGCCCAGGGCTCTGAGAGGTCGAGCAATGGCTCAAGGCCACACAAGCAGGAAGAGAAGGGAAGAGCTGAAACCCAGGGCAGGCCCGGACTAAGGCTGCAGACGCTGCCATTTCATCAGAATGCGCTGTTGAGTTCTGTGTTGCCCCACCGCTTCCTTCCTTGGTCAGGGCTTGTTCGTCTCGCCATTTCCCAGGGAGTCTGGCAGAGGCTGACGCAGGGCTGCGGGTTCGCGACACTGAGGACGTGTGTGTGATCCTGGGAACGCACCAGTGTGCTCACCCTGCGTGCTGGACACACCCCCTTTCAAAAGGAGGCGTGCTTCACTGCTCCACTGTAGGAAGGAGTGTTTCCTAAGCAGGGTCTCCCTTGACCACCCTCCCCCATTCCCATCTCAAATTTCTAGACCTGAAATCACACGGGTGTGCTAACAATAGAACACGGTGCTAACCATTTCCCGTGGTGAAGCAGCTCTCGTAGGCTGTCAGTTGGTCTGGCTTCAGCTTGTAGTTCTCATAATTTCCCTCGGTCTGTCGGACCCATTGCACCCACAAGAGAGCCTGCAGGTTGCAGGAGGGACCATTAACACCCATCTCAGGGCAGGCATCCAGGTCACCCCAAACTTGCCCAGTCTCTCCCTGTGCCCTGTGTTCTCTGCACACCCCCACCCCCAGCCTCAAGCAGAGCAGTGAAGGCTCAGAACCAGCCACACTTTCTCTGTAGGGCTGGCAGGGCAGGCTGCAGTGACAGAAAGCAGGTTCCAGACAACAGTAAACATACTGGCTTGTTGGGGGAGGAGGCGCAGGAACCAGAGAGTAATACAAAGGACAACAAAGGAGACACGGAGCCCTCCCCTGGACGCCCACTGCCCCCTCTCACAGAGGAGCTGGGGATGGATGAAATGAAATAGGCTGCTGGTACCCGGCGAACCCCGCTCCTTGTGATCCCTAGATGAGAACAAAGAGACCGGCTCAGGAAGACAACCTGACCTCTCAACATGGGGTGACGGGCCCCCAGGGTTTTTCCGAGACCACAGAAAAGCCAGTTTCCCCACCCACTCCCTCCACCCTATCACCTCTTACTCACGTCCTGGCTCGGAGGGATTCTGGCCCCCACCCTGAGAAATCCTGGGCTGCTCTCCTGCCCTGGTCCGCTGTGGCTTGGGTGGTACCTGACACAATGCCTGGGCCCCAGCTGGGCTGGGGAGAGGGGGAAAGGGGTGGGGAGGAGAGGAAGTGCTGTGTGCCTCCTGTGCACACTTGCACATGGGCGTGCATGCACACGCACACAAACACACACTCAGGCTCTGTGTCTGCAAAGATCTAAAACCCCTTTCATCTTAATAAAGGAGAACAGCAAGAGGCACAAAGGCAAGGGGGAGGCCAAGCCAGTTGTAAAAAAACTTAAGAGCTTGCGGTCAGCCTCCTGGCTGTGCTGTCTGCTGCAGAGACCTGGGGCTGAACGACAGAGCCGGCGTCTGCCTGCCCTCCCGCCGCAGGGCCTCGCCAGTCACAGCAGCCCAGTCCGTGTCCTCCCAGGAAAGCACGGGCCTCAGCCGGGAGGCCAGGCACAGCCAGCAAATTCATGCCCAGGATCATCTCTGACCGCTGGGAGTCACGCTCCCTGAGAATTACACGGAACAACACTGACCTATAACCGTCTCGTTCTCCGGCCACAGGGATGAAGTGATGATGAGTGATGCCCACGCTTGGCTCTGGCTTCTGCCAGAGGTGGCATGTGGCCCATAATAGGTGCCCTTGAACCAACAACACGTACACAGTGGGGTGGACAGCAAACAGCCACCACGCTGTCAAATTCACCAGGACGCATGCTCCTGCCCCAAGGCCAACCAGAAAGAAACAGCCCAAAGCACTTCAGCTCAGAAGAGGTTACACTTTGCAGAGGCTTCCCCGTAGTAGCCAAGGGGCCACGCTCTGGAATCAGAAGGCCCGTGTTTGACTCCCGGCTCTCCCACTTGGATGAGAAGAGCACCTACTCACGGCACGGCAGTCACATGGTTGTGCCCCATAAAGGGCATTGCTGTTGGCTGTGGACCTGGCGATAGGGCCAAGTCTCCTTTTAATTTGTTAAACCCTGCTCCTGTGCAAAGAAGGGGGTTACCAACATCCTTGTAGCAACTCCAGAAGTCTGGGGATAGGGTTAAATTGTACCCCCTACACCTCCTTGTTTTATTCTAAAGGCCCCAGGGACTGCCATAGAGGGAGAGCAGGAGGCTTGGCACCAGGGACGTTCACAGCTGCCCCTCGGAGTCTGGCAGCACCAACCGACCTCTTCCCCTCTCCTCTGAGCTCCTAGCAGGACGACCAGCGCTGGTTTCTGACGCCCGGCATTAAAGGTGCAGGCGCTCGGTGAATGCTTACTGAATGAATGAATGAATGAATGAATGAATGAACGGAGGCAGGACTGGGAAAGAACTTTACTATCTTTTCTCCCAGGACTGAGAATCTGAAATGGGAGTAGAGTGGAAAGTTCTGAATGGAGTAAGTAGCTTCTAAGGCTTTTTTCCCCTAGGAGGCACCCTGTGGTCAGAAAAGCAAAGTGCCAACAGTGGGAAGTGTCTTGGGAAATGTGAGTGGAAAACCTCCCGGATGCCGCCCCGGAGACAGACCACAGCCCGGACGGCCTTCGTCTAACTGCAGACTGACTCATCACCAACATTTACCAAGAAAATGACCCAGGAGTGAACCCCAGGGTCAGTTTTTCTGACCCCCAGCTGCCTCTCCCCGGCACCCACCTCCTTGACATGGAAGGTAAGTGGAAGATTACGGGGTTTGATGCAATTTAGGTAAGAGAAGGAGCAGAGAGGTGACTGTAGACACAATGATAAGCAGTTCCCCTTTTTGGAGAAAACCCAACAAACCGCATGGCCCTGTCACCCACAGGAGGGTTTAGCATAAAGCAACCAAGGTGCCATATTTATTGAGATTTAAGCATTGTGCAAGATTCTTTATGTCCCAGTAAAGCTCTGTGGGAGGCACCGTCCCTATTTTACAGACAAGGAAACCGAGGCACAGAGACGTGAGGCCACTCACTCAACATTGCTGTGCCAGAATTCGAACCCAGGACTCTCTAACTTTCAAGTCTTCAGTCTTCCCATGATGCTGTCCCGTGACCTGGTTTCCGTGCAACATCAGACATGCACCTATGGGCTTTCCTCCCCTGTAATGTTCAGGGAAAGGCAGGTGACAATTTGGGTGAAACTGAGGCATCACACAGGGAGTTAGACTTAATGAAGAGATACTGGGAGGGTGACTGGGCATTTGAAATGGATTTCAGCCAAAAGGATGGGGAAGCCCTCTCCTCAGTGGATTAGGAAAAAGGAGTGAGGCTCTTCTGACACCGGGCAGTGTGTTTTGGGGTGGGCCATCAGGGAAGTGGCATGTCAGGGCGGGCCACGTCAGGGAAGCCGGGGCCATTCTGCAGCAGCTCACAGGGGTGTCGGGCATCCCCGACTCTCCGTCCAGGCCTGCCAACCCAGGCACGCTGTGGTCCTGTCTCCTCAGTGACTCTGGAACAGAGTCTTAGCAAACAAAGGACCCTTTCATGAACTTCAGGCGGGTCCCCTGTCTGCTACTAAGAGGGCTATTGAAACAGGCTCCCAGGAGAACACTTTGTTATGAGCACGTGGTCTTGCACCAACAAGTAGGGCCAGGATCATGACAACGCCCTCCCTTTGGTTTGATCCAGGCTGACAGGAGACTCTCCAGCATCCGCGGCAGGCACGACCCAGAGGGAGAAGGAGCAGCCCAGGGTGGCTTCAAAGGGAGCCCTCCTCCCGGCAGCGGGTGTCCCACTGTGTATCCACCTGGAAGTGAGTCATTTGAAAATTGTGGGCTTTATCTTTTTTCTGGGGACTGCCATCTGAGGGTTTCAAAGTGCTCTGAATACTATCTGATACTGGCTGCTACTGTTTTCCTTAAACAGACGAAGGAACTGCACTGTCAGCTAGTATCACAGAGCATGGCACAGCAAGAGGGAACCTGGAGTGGGGATCTGCCTGTTGTTCTCTTGGCTCTGACACTTCGATTCTCTGGGGTTCTGCGTGCTACCTTCACGTTCACCGGGCCAGCATGCTCAGCAGAGGCCTGAGGCGGCAGGAAGAGTCTAAGGCCCTGGGGAGCAGAGATCTGGGTTTGAATCCTGCCTCTGCTGTTTTCAGCTCTGTGACTCTGGGCAGGTAGCTTGGCCTCTCTGAGCCTGTTTCTTCACCTACAGAACTGGAATAATACCTATCTCGAAGGGTTGTTGTGAAGAAAAGAAATAAATGGACGCAAGCCCCTAAGATGGGGCTTTGCTCAGACAGAGCAGGCGCTCTGTGGATAAAGCCATTTTTTTTTAAAAGGCTACTCAAGTTTTGGGAACAAAAGGTTGTGACAAGTGATCTGAGGACCAGACTCCTAACCACAATTTCCAAATAATTTTCTCTGCTAATGATGTTCTAATTTTCACCCATAACCCTGAAAAAGCTACATTCATACAGAAAATTAGGGTAATGTCTTTAGACACGGATGCGCTGGAAGTCCAGGCAGCTATGTCAGAGCGCCTGAGGTTGTGGCCAGTTGTACAAGGCAAAAACTCTAATCGAACACCTTCAAGTTGAAAGACAAGGAGATCCCTGTTCTGAAACCTCTTTAGACAGCTACCATGTCACCTAGTTTTTTTACCTTTCTTTAAGGCACAGGTGGCAAACACAAGACTCGCGTCTGTGGGGCACGCTAGAGCTGGGTGAGCGGTGCCCGGTGAGATCCCACTTCCATTTCCAACTTCAGGGGCAGTGGCTTCCACACCTTTCTCTCTCCTCTCCGTGTGCATTGGATCACAATGCTCCCGGTGGCCACTGAATCCCTAGCACAGCGCCTTGCCTACCGTAGGTGCATAAAACATACTCGCTCAATCACCGAATGAAGGTTTTCACTTAGGCTCCCCACAGTAAAGATGTGGACACCCTTGTTTCTCACTTTCTTTCGGGAGTGAGGATGAAGAAGAGGGAAGCCCCGGTTCTGATCTCCTGGGATTCAGGCCGGAGAAGGGAGGCCCAGAGCCAGGGGAGCTGCAAGAAGCCCCAGAGAAGGAAGCATGCTCTGTGCTCCCGGTCACAGCTCAGAGAACAAGACAAGACCACAGCTGTCAGCACTGGGCTCTGTATTCCCTGGGGCCAAACCCGAGAACAGAAGACCAGCCTCCCACAGGCTCCCGGCCCAGACGTGGGACCTGCAGCCCCTCCCTCTTCCTGCCCATCCTCTGAGAAACACACCTGTGGAAGTCCTGCCTTCCGTGCTCCTTCCTGCAACTTGTGTCTTACAGTTGAGGAGGTTCTTGCTCCTCTCTGTCTACCTCAAGGTGGAGGTGTTGCCCTGGGCAACAGTGATGTCACCTGCAGGGTGCTTCCATTCCACTGATGTCACGGGGTGGGCCACCTGAATGGAGGGGGATGTGCTTTCTATGGGAAGACATCACAGGTCCCAAGACTCTGGGGAGGATCCTGTAGACCTCTTGGGCACTCCCAAATGACCTTCTTTCTCTCCCTGATCCCTTTCTCACCCTTCCTTCCCCTCTGATTGCCTGTAAAAGGCCAAGCCTCAAACCTGACCTTCCCTCTTCCTGAGTGGGCTGAAATGGCGGGACAAGCAGCTTTGCCCTCACTTAGAACACACTCCACACAAGGGCACTGTCGACCTCCTTCTCACCGTCTGGGGCCCTGCGACCTTGCCCTTTGCAGAGAATTTGGTAGAGAATATAGATTCTCAATCGACCTCTACCGTGTTTAAGAGCTCATACCAGCCAGACTGCTGGTCTCTGCAGGCACTGTGCTTAGCTCTTTCTACGCATGCCCTGTGAAGTTCTCCCCATTTTACTGATGATGAAACCAAGGCTTGGGGAAGTCAAGGCACTCACCCCAATATGGAGAACACCCAGCTACTGGGCAGTGGAGCCCAGATGCAAACCAAGTTTGTCCTTCTCCAAAGCTCACCACGAGGGACAGAGATAACAGAGAGCCCTTTAAATGCAAAGAGGCCAGCCAGGAAGGCCGTGTGGCTGAGGGAGCCAAAGCAGTCACTGGCCTCAGGGAGTGCCCGATCCCCACGCTCACAGGGCCGCTGCAGGTGGCCTGTCCCGGCCCTTTCACTTCCCCAGGCAGCCACGGAGTAGGAACCAGGTTCCTTTTTTCTGAGTGTGGCTTCCCATTGACCCATTCAGGCCACCTGTCTAGTAGTTAAACTTATGCAAATACCACTCATTGTGTCTAGGAAATCTGCTGGGTGCAGCCAGCCCTTTCCAGGAGACATTGAGGCACTGAGAATTCCTCACTGGCTGAGAGGCCTGGTTTGTTCTAAATGCTGTTTATCTCTCTATATGTAGGTACATAGTAAAAAGTGTTCTGCTCCAGCTAATTAAGTGCTGAAATGTACAGTATGGGAAACAAGAGCTCATAAAGATGGAGCTGTGAATGGGAGCTTGGGACAGGTGTTTGCAGGTGAACAGGCCCCGGACACGGGTGGGGAGTCAGGGGGCAGGACGTGTCAGAAGAGCATGTCTAGACAGTCCCCGCTTTGTTCCACTCCTGGGGGAGTTTTCTGCCCAGGTGAGGGGCACACCCAGGTGGCACTTACTCATCGCCCTCCGGCCAGGCCCCAAAACTGGATTTGCCACCTCACACCGCCCAGCTATGGAGAAGGAACGTCAGCTGATGCTTGGGCCGGGCCTCCTGTCAGCTATGGAGGCCTTTCTTCCTGCACCTTTCTCTGCCAGATGAGTTTTCTATCTTTTCCTCCATCTGAGCTGAGTGAGAGAGGGTATTTCTTCCCTTGACAAAGAAAGAAAAAGAGCAATTGCTCTTTCTTCTTTCCCATGAGGGACCCCGAGCAAGCTACATTTTTAAGCTTAATTTGCTTCTTGTGCTGGGAATTCTCAGGGGCTGGGATTCAGCTTCCAGGCTCCTGAACATTTTACTTTGCTGTGCCTTAGTTTCCTCGTCTGTAAAATGGGGATAATACCTACGTCATAGAGCTCCTGTGAAGATTAAATGAGTTAATACAGGGAACGTGGTTTTGGGGGAATGTTAAGTCCTCAATCACTGTTGGCTATGAAGGCTACTGTAGATGGTTGTCCAGATGCTGGACTGGTCAAGAGCACCTACTCAGGGTGGTGGTGAGGATGGATCCAGGTTACATGCCGCTTGCCCAGCTACGTGCCTTGTCGATGCCCACCCAGGTGAAACTCCTTTTCCTAAATGGCACCAAGGTGCTAGCTTCCTGCTAGAAGGAGCACCTTATGCGAAATCACACAAAGGATGGAACAGGCTAGCAGCAGCCCTGGGGCTGTTGTTCTTATCAGCTCTCAGCATTCTCCTGGCTAGTCCTCCCTCCCAGCAAGACTGGATTAGAGGGGAGTCCAAGATAGACTGGTCTCAGCCATACGTAAGGTCCTGCTCCTGAGCTTCCCAGCACACCTGGGACACCTGCCCCCACCCACAGCACTTCTGAACCTTCCTCCAAAGCCCCACAGGCTGCCCTACTGAGACAGGAAGTAAGGAACTAGGAAAATTCCTTGGCAACTGGAATAGTGAAACTGAGACAGAAAGCTGAACACAATGGCCAGTTACAAAAGGTCACCTCTTAGAGACATCATCTAGGCCTCAGTTGAGTTTCAGCTCCAGGCCAAGAAGAGAAGCAAAACCAGGTGGATGGCACTGGGGCCAACTAAATGACTACATGACCCCTGCCCTGGCACTGAGCAATCAGTGGAGACCGTGACCCTGAGAGGGCACACTCCGAAAACTGATGAATACTTTACTGAAACCCTCCCCGGAGACCACCCCTAAGATTCCCACTTGCAAGAAAGAGAAAAGTCTCAAGACAAAGGACCCAACGCTGTCTCCCTCTGGGGAGCAGCCCTCACCACTCCCTCCCCTCTCTTCTTCCTCCACTTCTTTCTCCACAGGCATGTGGCTCCTAAACGCTAAGGCAATGGGCATCTGGCGGCTTGTCCAGGCTGATCCCCGGAACCTGTCTCCAAGGTTCCTTTTTCTTTGACTTCCCAGTGAGCTGAGGCACCCTGTCCTGGCCTCTCCTGTTGCTTCTTCTATGCTAGGCCCTTCCTTGTTTTACTGTCCCCAGCTTTAATACACATACCCTCACAGTCACCTGGACTCCTGTTGTGACATCTTTCTTACACGAAGTCAAGAACCCACACACCACTGCTGGCCCTAGGCAGACCCACTGAGGGCCAGACCCCTATCTGCTAACAGTACTACCTCATCCCCAGGGAGGAAACTCTCAGCCCCAGACCTGGAGTGGTCAGAGTCTCAGCCTCCGATCTGAAAGGACCCTCTCCTTGGTAAGTGTCGATAGCCACCTGTCTCTGCAGAGTGATGGGCAGCGCATTACCTACTGAGGGGCTCTGGCTGTTGGCAGGTTCCTTCTGACTTCTGAGTAGGAGCCACTTCCCTGCTTCTCCTAACCAGTGAGTCTCTGGAGGTCAGGCAGAACAAGCCTTCTTTTCTCAAGGGACAATGCTTGAGATTCCTCAAGGCCACAGCCCCAAGCCGCTAGGCCTCACATGCTGATGGGAAATAGTGCAGGTTCATTCCCTTCTGCCTCACAAACACACTTTCCAAAGCCTCCATACCACTTCACCCCTTCCCCTCTGGACACAACCCCATTCGGCAGTGGTGTCCCTGAAAAGAAGAGCCAATAAGAAGGGGGTTCTGAGCTCCAGCGGTCCAGCTCTACTCTTCCTGGGCTCTGTGCCCAGGATGCTTGTCACGTGGCCTCCCACCAAGATGGGTACCCTCCATACGAGACAACCCCTCCCCCTTGTTTCTCTTTATTGACTTCAGGGAATTCAAGAGGGCAAAATACAACACCAGGTTCCTCCCAGACATACCTTCTCAGGTGGGCAATTTTACCAGAAGCCTCTACTCAGAAATTCCTCCCTGAACTTGCCTTCAGATACAAAGGTCACCCACACACTCTCCTCTTTGTTTTCCTCATGGGTGCTGCAGAAGCTGCAAGCGTGTTTCTGGTAAGGTGACAAGTTCTGGGATGATGGCATCAGGTTAAATTTCAGATCCTCCCTCTCCCCTGCCGCTCCACCTCCCGCCCCCCCCCCCCCCCCCCCAGACCCAGGGCAAAGACAGAGCTTGAAACTGCTGCATCTTTGACAATTCCGGAGCTGGAGGATGGCACTTGAACAAAAAGCCTTTCCATCCAACCAGAGAGAGGAGAGTCAGTATAACCACTTCACGGTTACCCACAAGTGGAAAATATGAGGGCAGAATGGCCTGGAGCAGCAGCAGACACATGGAATTAGCAAACAATGAAAGCCACTTAGGCACGTAGGCTGGAAGGAGGACTCAAAAGCACAGCCTATTATGTTATCAGTAAAGAGGTGAATGGCAGCAATCCTACCTACGTGTGCCATGCCTGTTTTGTGGGTAACCTGGACCTGTGACTGCACAGTGCACCCATTAGCGATTAGTGTCACCTGGGAGCCTCTCCAAGGTAGAAGTGGTTTTAAAAGGAACAAGAAAATTGAATACAGCTCTGAAACTGATTCAGATCCAGAAGGCAGGCTCTGTCAGTACCTGGTGCTCTTCTAGTGTTGAAGGGGTGGGGGTGGGGGGTCCTTCTCACAACAGGCAGAGGGGCAAAAGGCAAAATGCCATCACTGAGAGGCTCTGTAAAATATTTTCCCTTCCTGGGCAGCAGCATTTTTTTTTTTTTAAGAGAAGGAGCATTTAAAATGGGAAGCCCAGCCCTGGGGCTTCTGAATCCCTTTAGCAAGCAGTCAGAAAGATGGAGACACTGAGAAATGGCTGGGGATGGAGTGAGTTACGGGCCAGGGGCAGAGATGATTTACAGTCCCAAGAGAAAGTTTTGCACAGTGTCAGGTCCCTTCCACTAACAGTTCCAAAAGAGGAAGCGGCAGGGGCTTTACCCGCCCCCAGCAACCTCATAGCTTCACTACCTTAAACTAAGAAGAAGTAAGCTTCACTCCTTCTCCCTCCTTCCAGGAGGGGAAGGAAGGCGAGAAGGGAGTTGGATAAAGAGGTGGGCCTCCCACCCACTACCCGAGGCCCGTCTTTGAGTCCGAGTACTCTGCTCAGACGGTGAAAAGTAACGGATCGTCGGGGCAGTAGGAACAAAGACGTGGTCCCAATTCGGACGCCTGGAAGAGGCGCTACCCGCGGCCAGTGCTGGAGCCGAGCGTGGAGTGCGAGCGTGAATGCCAGATGACAATGCGCCCCATCTTGGCCCCGGCGCTGAGGAGGGGTCTGCAGAGTAAGCACCAACCTGGGGGCCCAGGGAGGCCCCTTCGTCCCCCTTGTAGCCCCTGCGCGCCCACCCCACGCCGCCATCTCGGGCGCAGCTCCGCCTCGCCCCTCGGGTCCATCGCCTCCTTTTACCTTCCCACCCACGAGGAGGACGCAGAGCCTCGCGGCTACTAGCCCACACTTACGTTTCGCCTTCGTCCCCACTCGCCGTCGCGGAGAGGACCGCGCGGGCCCAGGATGCTCTCGCTAGTCCCCAGGGCCCGGACGCTGCGGTTTGGCTTCGTCTGCGGTGCACCCTCCGGCTGGACAATTAGAGGGTCGGGGGCGGAGATACCCCGACCGGCTCCCGCCTTCTAGCCTCCATCAGCCCGGCTCAAGGAGGTTCGGAGTTACTCATTTCCTGGATGTCACAAACTTTTCCTCCTTATAAGAACAAAACACCCGCCTCTACTCTCCGCCGTAGAGCTCCTTAAGGAGGACCGTGCAAGTTAGGGGAGCGGGGCCCAGGGTCCACCACGGAAGCCTGTGCATCGATCCCCTAGGAACTCCAGAGGGGACACCAGAACTGGAGGATGACGGGGAGAGATGGGATCTGGCCACTAGAGTAAACTGGAACGAGTGGACAGGGAGGCAACGAGGACGCCCTTAAAAGTCGGTCCAGTCTGGCTGACTGTAAGGGGTTAAGTCTCTGCTCGTCGACGGTTTGTTTTCCGAAGCGCGTTTTACGGGCGGCGGATTCCTGGGGCCACCTCTTTTGTCCCCTGGAGGGAAATATAAATCGAGACGCGACGCCGGCCCTTCTCTTTATTCGGCTTGAAAGGATTAAAATAACTCACCAAACTTAATGATAAACGAATGCATCCTAGCCTTTCTCCCTGAGTAACCAGGCACAAAAGGAAAACGGCGACTTAGATGCTTTTATCTGTAGAGGGCGCTTTAGTTTCTAGAGCTTGTTTACGGTTGTGAAATTAGAACTCTATTTTAGGACTGCAGGGAACTGAGACCTGGAGGGCAGCAGCAGCAGCAACAGCAGCGGTAGCAGTAGCAGCAACGTCCCCTCCCCCCCCCCCCGCCCCCCGCCCCGGTGGTACTTAACCGGTTATGAAATCCATAACCTATTATCTTTGTGACCTGCCCAGATTCCACAGCCAGTAGAAGGGACTGGGAAGAGCTGGAATTGATCCTACATGAAGTTGCTTTGGGGGAGTCAAGCACCAGTGAGGGCGCGTTGGGGAAACTAGAACACACTGCCCCAGTCTTTATCACCGTTGCTACTGCTGTTGGGTCTTAGATCACCTTCTTTTCCTCTGCAAGCCAGTCACAGAACCGTAACACTGGCCTGGAAGACATGAAGCTGAGTCGAAAGATAAACAGGGGAGGAATAGAACCCCCTGGCCCCTGACCCATATTACTCTCCTTGGAGGAGTACTCTTGTTCGGCTGCCGCGTACAGCTCCTTCCTTACATCAGGCACAGTTATGGCTGAGTTTGGGAGCTGGTAGGGAGGGAGGGGTGGGAAAGGGGTGGCCCGGGGAAATGTTCTTGAAAGAGCTGTGTGTTTACAAAATAGCTGCAAGTTGGACGGGTGGGGTGCTCATCCCCAAAGCAGGTGGGGTGGGGGTAGGGGGAATTCCTGGGAGATGAGGACCCTGAACTGAGCACCCCAGCACTCACTACCTTGTAACCCTGGGGGTAAGAGTTCAGGGTTATGTATGCTAGAATTCCAAGGTTAGTGCTTGAATGCCCCCTGGGAATGTGTATATTTATTCATATAAGGAACGGTTATTCGATTTGTTTTTCTTTTAAACCTGATGACTTCACTCTTTGTGACCTGATGGTCAGCTTCCTTGGCTTTCCTCTGCTCTCAGCATGAGGTCCACTGTCCTAACCTGGCACAGGGGCCATTCATGAACTGGCCCCTACTTACCTCACCAACCCCCTCTCAGTTCATGTTCCACACCCAACTCCTTGCAGTTCTTGGAAACGGTGCTTCTCAGAATGTGATACTTGGTTTGTCCCCACCCACCTAGGTATTCACATGTGCTCTCTCCTGCTGGCAACCTTCACCCCACCTCTTCCTCCAACCTGTCACCCGCAATGCATGCACACTTTTCCTCCTGTCTGATATGTGCTCAGTCTCCAGGTGTCAGATTAAGCGGTTTCTCTTCCGAAAGTTTTCCTTGAACACCCAGGCCTGAGTTAGACGTCCCTCCCCCCACCCCCTGCCCTGTAGTTTCCATAGCCCCTTGTGGTTAGTCTAGAAGGGGGTTTTAAAGGACAGAAAAGTACAAAGGATTCAATTTTGGGGGGAACATCAGAGTCCAAGAAGTCAGGTAACCTCTGCTTCAAACACAGAAATGCTAAAAAAAAAAAGTGAACAGTTGAAAGAAAGGAAGGAATCTCTGGGTATGAGATAGGAAGAGGGAACTCTAAGGCACCTAGGAGTATTTGACAGGACTATAAAGCCCCGATGGCTAAGGACTGGGAGGTGAGTGCCCACTCTGGCCTTGTGTTCTAGAAAGCTGGAGATCTGGACTTGAGACCTCTACTTAAAGCTGGGACACTGGAAATGCTCTTAGTGACTGGAGGATAGAAAAACAAAAACCACCCTGCCCCCCGCCCTCCCCCCGCAAAAAAAAATCCTTCCACTGGTCCAAGGCCACAGTGAGGAACTTTGTGGTTTGTCTGGGACTCTGGACGAATTTTTTAAAAATGCCTGCTATCGAAAGTGAAACCACTGTCTCGCCTATGCCATTCACTGGCACGAGGCCCCAGTTTACACTCCCCATGTGCTGAGGGAATTCTGAAGTCAACACAATATAAAAGCCGGTTCCAAAGTGATGAATCCAATCCTTGGTCCTTTCAGCGGCAAATGCAAAGACCACTTGTTTATTCTGATCTCTCACAGCATGAATAACTGCCATTGATGATGAGTTTATAATAAGAAATTATAAACGAAAGTAGGAACTGAACCGCATGAGGGGTGAATTGAATCAGTAAACTGGGGAATTAGCCCCTTGAGAAATTGAGATGATAGAACAATTTGGAAGAGATGGTAGAATAGTCATGTTCAAAAATAACTACAGAGTCAAAAATACAGAATATAACACTATGAAAAAAGAGTAAGCAAATTTGAAACAACTCAAATACAATATATAAAAATAAAAATTTAGTCACTTAGATTTAAAAACCTCAGTGAATGAAATTCTTTTTTCATCAGGGCAGTAATATCAGTCAAAAATCCAATAAAAATAACTCATAGAAAGGGGAAAATAAAGAAAAGTAACATAATAATCTCATTTATAAATACCATTTTAGAAACCCTAAGAAAAAATGTTAACAAGGAATCCCAGCAACACAGCAAAAGAACATCACATCATGAAATGAAAAATGGAAAGATCACCATAGATCCTGAAAAGTCATGAGACAAAATTCATTGTCTATGTATAAATAAATTGTTTTGGTTAATTTGATAAAAAAGTGAAGTTCAGTCCTAAAGCCAATACCATGCTTAATGGGGAAATAATAGAAACTTTCATTTAAAAAATTTATTTATTCATTTTTAGAGAGAGGGGAAGGGAGGGAGAAAGAGGAAGAAAGATACATCAGTGTGTGGTTGCCTCTCCCGCACTCCCTGCTGCATACTCCCTGACGGGGACCTGGCCTGCAACCCAGACATGTGCCCTGACTGGGAATCGAACAGGCAACTCTTTGGTTTCCAGGCTGTCACCCAAGCCACTGAGCCACACTAGCCAGGGTGAAATTTTCACGTTAAAGTCAGTGCAAGATAAGCATGTTCTCTTTTAGCAATCCCCTTACAAAAAACGAAGCAAAACAAAACAACCCCCGCCCCCCCCTCAATTAGGAATATGTTTGTTTGCAGGTAACAGAATACCGGATTATAATTTTATATGTGTCTGAGACTACAGGAGGCTTAAACAAATAGGGTTTTATTTTTAAGTCTGTAGATAGGTGGCTGCTTTGATTCAATGCTTTGATAGTTTGGGGCTGGTCAAAGGTTATGTTCACTTACTGTTTTGATATATATTGCAAAATTGTCCTCCCAAGAGGTTTCACCAATATAGACTTACCGATAAAAAATGAGAATGCCTGTTTCCCTACATCTTTTTCAACATTGGCTATTTCCTAACTTTAGTTTGCTTCTTTTATAGGTGAAAAAAAAGATATCTCAATGCCTTGATTTGCATTTCTTTAATTATAAGTGAGGCTGAACAGAACATTATCACTGGCCACTCTTATTTTTCTATTTGTGAATATTCAGCCATAACTTCACGTATTTTATGTTGACTTGTTCTTCATATGTGTTCTGCACGATCTGAGGTGTTCGATATGGCTTTGAAATTCACAGCGAAAGGTGAGTTGTGCCAAACACCGGACCGACTGTGGGCAGCTTCACGCCGCACTTCACAGTCAGGAACACGACAATGACAACCGAAAGACAAACATGGGGACAGATTTCCTGTTTGCCCCCAGCTGCGGTTGTCCCAGTATATGGAATAAAATACACGACAATGGGAGAGACAGGAAGCCAATGCTAGTTACGAAGAGTCTGACGGATGGAAAAAAGGAGCATTTTCCTTGATTTGGCCAGTCCCTCGCTATCCAGAATTCACCTGGGCATGCAGTTCTGAGAGGTAACAACAAGTCGGCTTACAGGATGTCTCACTGGAACGGGTTGCTCGGCGAGATCTCCAAGGTGTCCGTTGAACAGGATGGGCTATTTTTTCCCTCAAAGTCTGTCCCAGGACTCCTCCAGCTCTTCTAGGAATGTGGAAGCCTGCAGGGCCTTTAGAAATCAGTTAACAAAAATGCAGCCCAGAGAAGTTAGGTCGCATACTAAAGGTCACATTTTTGCTTAGAGACAGAACAGAAAATTAATAGCTAAAGCTTACCCTAGGTGCTAGGTATTACTCTAAGCACTTTACAAGTAACAACTCATTATTTCTCGTAATATTCCCATAGAGTAGGTGTCATTCATATTCCCATTTAACAGATGAAAAAACGAGGCCTGGTGAGGCTGAGTAACTTCCCCAATGTCACACAGCTAATCAGTGGCAGAGTGAGGCGTTGAACCAGAAACTTGGCTCCAGAATCTTGCCCTTAAATATATGACTCTATGTCATGCTCATAGCAAAGCCCCTTCAAATGTACAACTACACTGAATTTCCCCCCAAATGAGATGACGATAGTTAGAATATTTTTCAAACTATTTTGAAAAATAAGTATTACCTCAGAATCCAATATACTCACATACAAGTGTGTTATAATGGAAAATTTCTTTAAAAACAAGGCTTATGCTTACTAATTGTGATATACCCTGGTATATTCCCTTTCGTTTTTCTATTTCTATCATTACCCTTTTATGAAAAAAAAAATGCAGGTCACACTTTACTAATTAGTCATGATCCACAGTTTGAAAAAATGCTTCTTTAAATTACCCTGCTGGCTCACATCTCAGTTATGAAAGCTGTTGGTGATTTATACATGTTAAATTTCCATCCACACATCACTTGGAGTGGGAAAGACTGTCAGATAATTTCTATCAAGCTTATCTCTCCCTGCAGTTAATTCTAAAGATGATACACAGGGGCTTTAAAACAAATCACCGTGCTGTAACTTAGGAAAACCTTTATTCACCCATCCATCCATCTATCCATTTGTTCAATAAATATTTGATCACCTCCTATATGGCAGGCTTTGTGCTAAATTAGGAATTGGCAAACTATGGCCTACAGGCCAACTCCAGAGCAACACCTGCCTCTGTAAATAAAGTTTTATTGGCTCATAACTATGACCATTCATTTAAGTATTGTCTGTGGCTGCTTTTGTGCTATGATGGAAGAGTCTCGAGTAGCTGCTACAGAGACCATGTGCCCCTGTGAAGCCCAAAATATCTCTTAATC